GCAGAGGGCACTAGCAGAGCACTACAGTGTCTGTGACCAGGTGCCAGGACGGTGCGTTGGCAGTGGAGTGTCCTGCACATGCTTGAGCTAGAGCAGTCCGAAAGGTTCAACAGAAGACCCCCTCTCAAGGAAGGAGCCTTGAAGAAGCATTGTGTTGTCTCCTGCCCAGCAGAAAGCTGCTCCCGGCTGTGTGGGGTGGGTCCGGGTAGGGCCCTGCAAGTTGGCAGGAATGAAGTGCGGCTGTTTGGTCACCACAGGGTGACAGTAAAAGCATGACAAACACGAGGAGGCTGGAGGCAGAGGTTGGGCTGCAGCGGGTGTCCCATGCTGGTGGTGGCACCTGAATTCCAAAGGGAATGAGGTGCGTTTGTGTCTGATCGCAGGCGCGGGACGTGTGAGAAGCTGGAAACACCAGGGCCCGGCTCTGCTCCGCGTGTGCCATCCGGATCCAGGCAGGAAAACGGGAGGTGGTTTCTGTGGCAGGGCACCGTGCAGCACTGGGGAAGCCAAGAGCAGGACACGGTCTCCTGCGCCCAGGCTGCTCCTCTCCCCGCTCCCTTCGGAGCACATGAATCCTTTTTGCTAAGATCTCGGCTATTACGTAGCGGGTGCTGCATCCCGGGCAGCCTCTCAACTGGGAGGTGTTAATTAAGGGTCTCCGGGGGGTGTTGTGTGGTGTCCCCCCCTCTCCTGGCCATAGTCTAGGAGATGCAAAGAGGGCGAGAAGCGGATTTTCTTGAGACACCCCTCTTGGTCACTGTCCTCATCCTTGCTTTGGAACTCGCATGATTTGCAGCATGAAAGGTGATTAATTTGTTTCCAGCCCCAGTGCCTTTACCTTTGTGCTTCGAGGGGAACAGATGTAGTGTGTTTCTGTGCCTCATCCCTGTGCATACATTTGTTTTGTATGAAGCATTTCTTTTTTCCATTAGATTGGCTATTTCCACTTCTCCCTTTGGCAGCGGATCACTGAGAAGTGCCGGGATGTTTTGCATGGAAAGAACATGGATTGCTGCTTCGGGACACGCGGGGCGCTTGGCTCGGAGCACCCCACCAGACACGTTGTGTTGCTGAACTGGCTGTAGCAGAGAAGAACTTGGCACCAGCTTTGCTCATAACGCGATTGCATGCACTCCACTTCCCTCCTCTCGCCTCTCTGCCCGCCTGAAATAGAATTGTTCAGCAGCCAGGCGCGTTTGGAGACGCTGGAGGGGAAGAGCAGCCCCGCTTGGCCCCACGAGGCTGGTGACAGAGGAGGAAGAGGCAGTCCCAACAGCAGCACCAAGGGCTGAAGCACGACGGATGCATCCCGCTTCTGGCGAGCGAATGTTGATGAGTTGTCTCCCACCTGCGTGGCCTCTGCGTCCTCTCCCCTGTTCCACCCCTGCCCAGCCACTTTCCTGTCCTCCTGGGCCGGGTTTGCCGGCTGCTCCCTCGCTGGGGTGAGAGGAGCATCCATCCCTGTCGGCTCTCGGCTTGTCTGGATCCTGCCCGGCTGCTTTTTAGCTTTTCCGCTGTGCTGTTTCCCTGCGTCTGCAGCCTCGCCATGACGCTCCTGGGAGCAGCCTTGGGAAAAAGGGGTTGTTCAAAGCTTTTTGTTCCTGACCATTTAGCGGGTGGGGGCGTTGGGCCGCGGTTCGCCCGCGCACGCCGCTTTCGTTGGGGACTTTCCATTCCTTGCACCGAAGACCTCTCGGTTCAGTTCCCTCCCTGCCTCTAGCGGTGCCGCCGGGGGAAGCGGTCACAGCGGGGGGGGGTCAGCAGTGCTGGCAGCAGCTGGCTCTTAGTGCAGCATTTCGTTAATGCTCACGTTGTTATTCATCCTGGTGCTTGACCAGCAGTGCCGGAGCCTTGTGGACACCTGCAGGGGCCGGCAATTCCGCTGGCAATGCGGTTTGGCCCCATATGTGCTCTTCCTTTGTCCTCTGTCCCTCTCCGTGGCTAATTCCCCATTTTCCCCCTCGTCCCTCTTCTGGTTAAGAGGGTCTCGAGTTGGTCGTCCCCGGAGGAGCCAGGCTGTGCTGTGCGCGGGTAATTTTCCAGAAGGGGGAAAATGGAGAGATCTCCTCAGCTTCATGATAACTTTGGCTGTACCCAGCCAGCGTGAGCTGCCCGCTTCCGTCTTCCTTCACTTTCACAGTGATGCTGGAGCCTTCCCATGTGTGAAGCGGACGCGTCCGGCCCGATCTATTCCAGGAGCCGGCGTTGACGCTGGAGGTAGCGAGCGTCTCCGCAGACGCGGCCTCGTTGCGTTTGGGAGTTTTGGTTTGCATAAGAATTTGGTTTCAAGTGCTTCAGTCTTGGTTTCTTGTTTTAAATGACTAGTGTTAGATTTCCCTTCCTCCTCCCACATACCCCTGTCATTTCAGAAGAAGATTTTTTTTTTCCCGCTTCCCCAGCCAGACTGAGGTTGTGGAATGACTCCTGCTTGCAGGGCAGCTGCTGCTGCAGCATCCGAGGAACCAAATCCCCGTTGGGGCATGAGAATCCATAGATGAGAATCCAAAAGTTGAGGCAAGTGACAGAGCATCTGTTCCCACATCAAGTACCATGTAAAAATGTGGGACTTGGTCACAGTTTTCTTAAAGAACAGGGAAAAGGGATTTTGGTGGCTTTTGCGGGCCAAGCCTCCTTTAGGGAACTGTTCTGCTTATGCCGAGGCTCCACGTGATGCTGACTGGGCAACTACTTAATAAACCAGGCCTCTTTCCGGGCAGCTGACTGTTAACTTAGTGAAAGCAGAAATGTACTGAGAATGTCATGCTGCCAAAGTATGTTCATTTCCTAATTATAATATTTTCTTCTATATTTAGAACATATTAACACGTATAATTTACCCTCTGACTTATAATAGCATGTGTTGCTCTAGTCCTGCTAACTTTATAAGGATCCTTGCTGAGTTTAATGAGAATATGGTTAAAAAAAAAACACCCAAAAAGTACAGTGGGAGGAAGGTTAACACCCTCGTGATGTATCTTCCAAAGCTGAAAAGCTCTTGTCTTTGACGCTTATTGGCTCTGGAAACTTGAAAAAAAAAAAAACATTCAGTTTTGGGATGAGAAGTGCGACTTTAGGGAAAGTTCATGAGCCTCCCCGGCCGGCGTGGGGACATTTGAGGCTGCTGCCGGCTCAGCCAAGCCCCGTTGTTTGCCACTGAGACCGGCACCATGGTGGTTTGAGAGCGCGGCACGGTCCTGCGGGCAGCTCCCGTTAGCTCCCGTGCCGAGCGCGGGGCTCCTTCAGGAGAGCTCTGCGTTTGCACGGCGGTAATAAAGGCGTAAAATGAGTTACAAGGTGTCAGAGCAAAAAGTCCTCTGTCCCGTGAGTGTATATTGCAGAGAGAGCATAAGAGCAGGGTGAGTAAACGTGCCCCTTGGGTAAACTTCCAAGCACCTAGGGGCCTGAGGTCCAGGGAGCTTTGGGGCCATAATGGGGATCTTGGTAGTGAACAGACTGCGCTGGTATTTTTATTTTAATGCAGGCTTGCAGCCTCTGTGCCTCCCCACAGCACCGTGCATGCCGGAGTCCCCTGTTTTGTGCAGCTTTAGCCGTCTTTGCCCCGAGCGAGCGTTCAGTGGCCGGTAGGTGCAGCCACGGCAGCAGTCTCTGGGGTTACGTGTATGTATTTTGGAAGGTACCTGCGAACAACCCGGGATTGCTGCGGATGCCAATGTGGTGAGAGGAGCCGCATTGCTGAGAGAGCTGGGCGGGCGGGAGGAAAATTGTCACTTAACCCCCTTTCCAAAGGAGTCTGTTGCCGGTGACAGCCGAGCGCCGTAATCCCCTAGTAATGCCCAGCACGCGGCCCGGCCTCCTGCGGGGTGCCTGCCACGCTCTTTGCCTCTCTTTTAATTGGATTGTTTGCACAGGGCCTCGTTCCGGGGAAGGGGAGCGAGGCCGGCGGTTCCGGCTCTGAAGGGTTTGGTCTCGAGGTGTAGCTGCCTCTGATTAAGTGCTGCGATCCCGACGGCTCCTCCGTTACGCATAATTTAATCATCCCGTGGATCCTGCCAGCTGGTGCCGGCCCAGGCAGTTTTCATGCCAGATTATTCTTCCTTCACTTCAGCTCTTGCTCTTCTCTTTCCTTCCCTCCTGACAGCCTGTGATCTGGTGGCTTATGGCTCCCTCTAAGTGCTCTCTGCAGCGAGCTACACGGGAGCTCTCTGGACACATAATGTGCAGGATTTGTGGCCATCATCTGCTTCCTATGCAAGGAAGGGCAGATGGGAGGCAGGAAGAAAGGGCAGCTCTTCCCCGCACGGGCCAACGTCCCTTCCAAGAGTTTTGACAGGTCACGGGGGAGAACGAGTCCAAGGGGCTCGAGCACATGGTGAGATCTCGAGCTGCTCCCACTCACCTGCTGGCGGGGATGGCGACCTTCCCGCAGCGGCTGCGGAGCGGAGCCCCGCGGCACCCGCTGGGCCCTCGGGAGCCGCAGCCAAGGACGGCGCAGAACTGCAGACACCTTCTGCGTCACTTGGCGGCGCGTCGCCCCCAACGGGCCAAGACAGGAAGGCATTTCAAGAGATACAGCACTGCGATGTATCTCCCTTCCTGGCGGGACAGCTATCGGTCTTTGAAGTAGCAGGACAAGGTCAACTTAATATCTTTAAATGAGTTTACTTTTCTCAGCAGCCTCCACTTACGTTGCATGCCTGGCCGGCTGACAAGGGTTTCTTCTGGCATTTTTCCCAACACCAGTTTGAAGGGGCTCCCTGGAGAGCAGAGGATTTGCCATGATTCCCGGGAAGAAAATGTAGAGTTGGATTCTACCCCATATTTATGGTAGGGAACTGGGAGAGTGGACTGTGGGTCTGGGCCTTAACCTGTGTGTTACTAGGGGGACTTTCTGGAGCTGAGGTGAATTTGAGACTGCTCCATCGTAGGCTTCGACTTTTGGTAACTCAAAAGGATGGAGTATTTGAGCAAAGACGTTCTGGGGCAGATGGCTCTTCCTCCCCTTCTCGAGTGGCAGTTAGCTCACAAGGCGGTTGGGTTTTGCCCTAAACTCTGGTGACTTTTCTTGGGGCAATTCACTGTGCTTCAGCATCAGGGCAGAAGGGAGGTCTATGACCTGATCAGCCCTGCTGATTAGTCCGGATTAAACAGCCTCTGGAGACAAACTTCCATGAAAACGGCGTGTCTGGAGAGGCCAAGGCGCTGGCAGCCAGTGCGGTGCAGGGAAGGAGGTGGTTGAGAGGGGCCCGGCTTTCTGCAGGCATGTGAGTTGGAGCGAAGAGCGCGTCCTGACAGCGGTAGCTGCTGATAACCAATCTGCTCTGCTTCCTTCCCACCATCACCACCTCGCTCCAGCGCTCGAGAACCAAAGGACCTGGTGGGTGGTGCCAAGAGAAACAGTGAGTGGAATTTCACTTTATTCCCATCAAGGCTACACTAGTAACTCTAAAAGGCAAAATGCAGAGGAAAACTAGCACAAATCCCATGCTAAGGCAGTAGGAATGCCATAGGTAAGAGGTCTGCTCTTTGAGGGCTCTATATCTGTCCTTTACGCCATGACCAAAATGACCCTTTTTGGTACTTTTCTGGCGCTGCCACAGCTGGTAACAGCCAGAGCTCAAGCTGTGCCTGGCAGGTTTCTGGGAGAGCTGGCACAGCAGGGAAAAGATCTTGCTTTCACTGGGATAAGGACGTTTGTGTTTAGTGACGCCTGTGCTTTCTGTTGATGAATTTCTTGGGGAAAGCATGCCCGCGTCCAAACCCGTAACACGCAGTCGGCGCAGCGGGAGGACACGCTCCCCGCCTCGTGGGAGGTCAACACAAACCCTCCCTGCGCTGCTGGTGTGAGCGGTGTCTGTCTGTGCCCCGTCTGCACACCCGATCTTCAGACAAAACAGATACAGGCTGAAGGTGGCTCCATGCTCCTCGTGTGCCGAGGCTGCCCCTTGCTTGCGTCTGCTGAGCCCAGCGTTGCACTGTGCTCTTTACGTGCAGCTCGACACGCAGCTGCAGTGTGTGGGGACGGTCCCTGGGCCCCCAGGTTGTCCCCAAACTGCTGGTCTCTTCAAGCGAACGGGGTGAAACTGGGTTGGTGAATGGGGCTGGATGCAGCCTCCTCCTTGGGTCTCTGCATCTCTGCCAGTCGGACTTGCCCCTGCTCTGAGGGGTTCAGGATGCCAAGGGCAGAGGTAGCTTTGAGGGGGAACAGAAGGCTTTGGGGGTGAGAGCTCCAGTTTAATGAAGACCCTTCACTGAAGATTAGCTTTTTTGGGCGTGGGATGCTCCTCACTGTCTCTGTCTTTCCCGTCTGCTGTGCTGGCAACTGGTCTGCAGAGATCTTGGAGCAGCCTTGTGTTAAACACCATGATCTCCTGCAGCCGAGGACCTGGGGCAAGAGGAGCCATCAGCTTCGAGCCCATGCGCCATTTCCTCAAGACCTTTATCCTCCTCCCATGGCTTCGTCGGCCCTTCTCTGTGCCCAGGCCTGAAAGCATCATGTGGGACCCTGTGAGGGGAAAGCAGCCAGAGAACGTGACTCATCAGGTCCGGAAAGAAAAGCAGGTAACAGTTCATGCGGTGGCCATTTGCATAGCCCACATTTTGGTGGATGCAAATTGTTGGGTCGTTATGTTTATTAAGGAACCAGTGTGCGTTGTTTGGCTTAGGCTGCTGATTTGCAAATGGTGCCACCCTGTTCCTGCTTCGCTCCCAACTCTGTGAAAGAAAATTCATGAGTTACACATGCATTTTCCAGCTAGAAAATTTCCAGCAATTTCTGGAGCCACAGGAAAGCAGGCGGCTGTGGGGCCCAGCACCTCTGGGATCAGTGGGGCAGGCAGGGAAATTCAGTAGCTTCTGGGGTTTGCTGGGCGGTCGCTTAAAGGTGAGCAGCAGTGCAGAGCAGTTCAAAGCTCATCTGGGAATCACCGTGTCCGAAAGTAGAAAACCAGAGCTGATGTGTGTGTTGTCACACTGTAATTACCCAAATGGCTATTTGGTTAATGAAAGAGATGAAACCCCGCACTTGGAGTCAGCGCAGAATTCCCCTGGGTCCTTAAAACTGACAACTAGCCGGCTCATTAATTTTCTGCTTCCTCCAGAATGTCCCCCGTTGAACGTCCCCCCAGCGGTTGAACTGCCACCGTTCATCTCCCTCAGGAGCAGCGCGGTGCCCGCTCCGCTGCAGCAGTGACTTGAAAGGGAGAACAGCTGCGTCGCCCGGCCATGCGAGTTCCCCGTGGGACTCTCCTATTCTGCTCACGTCTGACCCCGCTCTCCTCGCACGGGAGCGCCTCGCTCTTCTTGTCAGAGCGTTTGCATGACAAAAGTCAGCGCGGGAG